AGAAAGAAAAGGGCGAGAGGCAGGATCAAGCAAATACCCGGTCGAAGGAAACGACAACATCGCACAAGGCACCCCTGGCATGGTCCAGGGCTTCCAGCACGGACGCGATCCCCACGTCGAGGCTCTCTTGCTCCATGCTCTCGGCGGCATTGTCGAGGGTGAAGAGCGTCGACGCCGGATGCTACGGATTTGTCCACCGGAGCAGGGGCTCGCCCCTCGCAGGCGAGTCACTGCCTACCGACGTCAGCGCCAAGGACGACTCCCCGCCAGTCCCAAGCGCCGCCGACCTCTCTGCCACCACCACAACTCCTGGGGACCCCTCGGCCACGTCCCCCTCCGTCCGGCCCACGCCAGGCGCCGTCGCTTGGTTCACCGTCAGAAATAGTTTTTCTATCGGTCTTACACGCACAGAAAAATTAGGTTCACCTAGATTAAAAATAATTTTTCTATGCGGATATCCACAGGAAAAAAGAAATAATTCCCTGTTGACTACTGGTAGAACACCGACAGAAAATTCATTTACCCTATTGGGCATAGGAAACATAATTAATATTGTCGGATGACAGGATTATTTATTTCCAAACAACATTAGCTCAAACCAATTATACTGTAGTCTCAATAGAACAAATCACAGCTTATCATTATAAATTGCATACAGTAGATGTTCGTCCGTGCATTACAACAAATAGTTTAAAATATTCACATGATGACATGTATTGTGGATCAACAAGAAGTTACTTATTATTATTAGAAGTGGTATCTTTTAATACATGTTAGCATATGATTGACCAGTGCCAATTGACCAGAAAGACGAGGTGCTCCCTGCTGCCGCACGCTGCCATATGCGCCCATGCCACGAAGTGCTTCTTGGATAGCACCGACCTCCATGATTGTTTCCACGCTGTAGGTCTACAGGCTCTGTATGTGCAACATAGAATGTGAAACAACGTGATTGGATCCTAGACAGTCCAATTACGAGACAAAAAAAATTGCATACATACAATCTGCAATAACTGTAATTTGGTTTGTCAAGTTTCTAAATGGTGTGCCACAACCGTGACTTTCAACGAGTTCCATGCAGTAGCCATGATTCGAGTTCTGCAATTCCAGTTCTTTGCTTAGTGTCACCAGTAACTAAATTAGCCATGATTATACCACTTCTTTGCTTACTGTCACTAGTAACTAAAGATTAACAGGCATGATCATGTTCAGATTCCATTACCACATCAGGTGGATCAAAAAAAAAATGCATGAAGGTTTTTGCTCAGCAATGGTATCATGTGTCTATTATTTTATTTCAGGCTATTCAATTAACTTGAAGTGTTGCATATACAGATAAAGATAGGAAGCAGTACCTGAACTTGCAATGCCCGATGGGCCGAACATCAAGATGCATCATATCCATTACCTAAATTGTGATAACAAAGATATAAATGGAGGATTAAATAAATTGGGATAACAAAAATGGAATTAAAAACCAAAACTAAAGAAGATTGCATACCTTGAACGGGACAACATGAAATCTTAGCAGCTACTTGTGAATTTTCTTTGATGCTATCAGGAACATATATTATGGATATACATAAGCATGCAACTCATATCTCAACTAAGTATCTGTCAATTTAAAATGTACATAGCATCAGCCTAATGCTAGATTTGCGATAAGCAGAAACATGTTAAAAGAACAAACAAGAGACAATTCTTATTATTATAACCATTGTGCAGGTTTATTTGGTCTAGAACAAAAATCACTGAACTGTGTATATCATATATTCCTCACTGACCTGGTTGCCAGCACATGCAACACAAATGCAAATCCTGTATGGACATAAATGCAGATCCTGTATGGAATGGATTGGCAAAATTCAGTATAGAGAAGAGAGGGTCCTTCATTATTTTCCTCTAATGTATGAACTGGCAGTTACGTCCTAATCCTAATGTCAGAAAAGACAACAGATTCACATGTAACCTTAAATTTCCAAACAAATAAGCAGTGATAGATTAAAGAATCATTTTGATTGTCTGTCAGACAAGCTAATGAAAGTCCCTCATAACCAGCGAAGCACCACTAAATCATTCAGTGAAGCACCACTAAATCATTATGAGTACTATCGCCGGACATCTATTAAGCATAGATAGGCATAGCTGCACGGATTGAGTAAAGCAACTTTCATAATATATTACTTTACCAGTAAGCTAAATCAGGAAATAATACATCATGTTTTACACTTGAGTAGAGCATTAAAGTACATCGCCTTAACCTTACACTTCCAGGTGATCTAGTCCAGCGTATGAATTCTTTAATTTCATCCAGTAAATAAATAGCATCCACTTAAAACGATCAGTTGGATCAAAGTAAACTAAAAAAAACTTCATTTCTCCTAAAAAGGAATATCAGATCAATCCTTAGTATACTTAGTGAAAGAGATTAGTAGAAGATCTAAGCACAAAACAGAAACATGTGCTTTGGTGAATATCAGATCAATCCACATCCTGCAGGAAGACCAACTCATATAAGCATACACTTGGGTTTAGATCTACGGATAGCCAAACAGCTTAAATTAGGGTTCCAGTGCTAAGTTTTACAGAAAGGAAGGGAAGAGAAGGGACAGGCATATCTGTTGTTGTGGATGCTCATCGCTGCAGATCCGGACGCCTCGGTGCCAGGGCGGGCCAGGGTCAGAGGCGGCCAAGACGGAGGCGCAGGGGTAGGGCCTTGGGGCCGCGTCCTGGAGGGTTGGCGGCTAGCGGCCGGCCTACACCAGCTCACGGGAGGGGCCGCGGCCACTTGCGGTATGGGGGCGGCGGCCAGCGGCTGGCGGCCGCCGCCGAACCTGAGCACGGCGGCCGGCGTCGAAACTGGGGGCCGCGGCCCTCCCATGCAGATCTGGGGTAGCACACTAGGGGTCGGCGGCCGGCGTCGAACCTGAGGGAGGCCGATTTGGGGGCATAACACTTCGGGGCGGCGGACCTTGGGGGTAGGGGGGGGCGGGGCGGGGGCTGGGCACGGCGGCTCATGGGAGGGGCGCGCGGAGTTTTGAAACCAGAGACGCGGTTTTGTGCGTGAGGATTGGGAAGGGCGGCCGCATCTGGAGGATAGGTTTAGGTGGTTTTGTGGTTTTTTTCACTGTTTTTTTATTCCACACTGCGCCAATACCAAAAGGCAGGCTCCAATGCCAAAAAAAACACGGCGCCAAAGCGAAATCCATGCGCGAGACTTTTTTCTGTGTGTATGTAATTTTAATCTGTGTGTAAAATAAAAACCGATAGAATAATTATAATTTTTCTGTGCGTGTATAAGTTTTTTATATGAGTTACGAATATACCGACAGAATAATGACAATTTTTCTATGTGTATTGTCACGCACAGAAAAAAATATACAATTACCCTGTGGGTTTACGTATTTTTCTGTGCGTTTTTTCGGTGCACACATTTTTCTATGTGTACAAAAAAACACATAGAAAAATTCATCACCCACAGGACTGTTCGAGTTTCCACCAGCGCATGGAACACCTTATGTGCATGAATTAAACTAGCACCTGGACTTGAATCAATCTAACCACAAGCTGTCCCAACTTCGAGCAACAATATACTTGCATCAATTTGCTCACTAATACATCAGTCCCAACATCTCATACTCAATACACGGAACAAAACATATATGCCTTGAATGCCAACTCATCCGTACAAATAAGGATGAAAACAGAACGGAAATATCCCGAACCAAACTGCATCGTTTTCTATATTTAATCTGATCGAATCCGCATTTTTTTATCCGACTTTACCGTTTTCGCTTTCGCATTTCAGATGTTTCGTATTTCAAATGTAAAAGTAGAAAACGGTTTAGACATTTTTCGACCGTTTTCTACTTTTCTACTTTTAATTTGAAATATTCCGAATTGAAAATTCGGTTTAAACCGAATTTGGCCAACTGCACAGGTTATACAGCCCAATTACAGGTTGTTCACCACGCAGCTGTGTTCTTTCTACTGGTGGCCAGCTGCCCTCTCTTATAGACGGTGCCCAGCCTCATCTCTCTTCACCTCATGAGATGGTGCTAAATGTCAGAAAACCAGCAGCATCTACACGAAAGCCCACCTGGGCCATAGCCCATCAAGCTCATCGGTTTAACCCCCACCTGCAAAGTCAATCATTTGATAGTTTTTGCATCAGCCGAATAAATCTTTATTACTCAAAAGAATCTGAATAAATCTTTAAAATAAAATACTACATCTATTCTAAAAAGATTAATAAAATTATTCTGCCTCAGTTCGAGTTCATGTTTCTATAATATGCACTTGTTAATTATTATATGCACTTGAACTTGATCATATATGCACTTAGTCATGCACTTGGTCTACGGGTCGGTATTCCGTATTGAGTTTTCATATATCGACTGTGTTCGACATAGATCCGCTCGAATTGGTTCGTTTTCGAAATTCCCGATAATTCGTAAGTTCACGTTCGTTTTCGTGTCCGGTTTTACCGTTTTCGCTTTCGTTTTCGTATTTCAAATGTAAAAGTAGAAAACAATTTAGGAGTTTTTCGACCATTTCCAACCGTTTTCATCCTTACGTACAAGCAACCAATTTACATATGAAATAATATCAAGTAAGATGATGACCTTAATCAATACATATGACAAGAGAAATACTTAATCAAGAGGACAATAAGATTTACATGAAAACCTCTTGCGGAGAAAAATCACGGGAAACAACGAGAAAAATCCACTGAGATGAAGCAATACACGAGGTGGGAACCAAATAAATCCCCCACAAATCTCTCTCTTTAGTGGTAGATTTGGTGGATCAAAGCTCTCTCAACCTCCCTAACATTGGCACTCTCTTTCTTTCAAGAACAAATGAGACCCCAAATATATAACAAATGGAGCTGCAACTATCACATAGAAGTATATCAAAGTGAAACACCTTAAGATCAGCCAGCACTGAAGTCACAGGTGATCATTCAAAATTATCAGTTGCTTCATCATACTACAAAATCATGAGAGAGCCTTCCCGGCCATTATTGTAAATGGAATTACAGCAACTGCAACACAGAGATGGTTGCAGAAGGAAGCAATATCTGCAATAGCTGCGATGGTGGTCTGTGACTTGTAATGCGTTAGGAGCCTCCACACGAGGCCTGAGACAATAGCTGCTGCTGCAAGGTGCAAGAAACATTCGGTAGATATGTTGACTGAACCATTGCTGATGCTTGGTATCGACACCGCCAGGAATCCAGTAAATGTTACCTTTGTTAGCTCAAGCGACGCTGGTTTATCACTGCCCGCACTACTGCTAACAGCTGATTCTTCATCACCGTTAGCGGCACCCCTGTGATTGTTGTTGCCATTTCCATCATCCTTGCTGATAGCGGCATAGAACACATATATCATGAGAATGAGGAAGGGAGCTACTAGGAGAAGCAACGCTCTTAGTTCCATTAGTGCATACATAATGAAGAACAAAACCAAGGAGACTGCAAAACCTGTGAAGATATCAATGGTCTCTGTCAGGTTTCTTATGAGTTTGCGAGGAGGCATCGTCTCAAGGAGCATTAAGCCCACACCAACAACACAAACAATGAAGCTTGTGCCGATTGGTTTGGTAAGACGATCGTGTATTATTGCTTTAGTGCTGTTAATCTGACCCTCCAGAGCCAGGCCTTCCAGTCCCAGAAACAGCAGTGCAGTTATACCAGCCAAGAAGTCAAGTGAGCTCTCCAGTCTATTGCAGTCGTACTCCTCACGTCCCATTGCAGTTGCAGCATTTCTTTCTCCCACAGCGGTTGTGAAGTGCGTGACGGTACGGATCACGGAGCAGAGTCCAACGAGGGCACCGATCACAGGGAATGCCCAGCTGTGTAAGATGAGGTATATGATCCAACAGGCAAGTGCCACTAAACATGTGCTGGATAAGGGTGCCATCAACATGGTAGCAGTATGTGGGGAACTTGATGAGCTCCCACTGAAGAATCGCTTGGAGAAACAGCAGACAAGGAAGGGGCAAATACCGGCAAGTAAGGTAACCGTCGCTACCACGAGCATGGTGGTTGGGACGGCACGCCCATGTTCCTCGCTCTTGAGATCAACCTTCTTCAGCGCAATCGCAAGAAGCACCGGGCAGACCATAATCACCACTCCTTCCGCGAAAGCACGGTAACGGTTCATCCATGCATCCTACAGTATGAAAAATATGACATATATAGGAATGAATCTAGCAGCTTTAGAAAATCACCATGATCGTGTGTGTCAAGTTGGATTATTGGTCTTCAAATCGTTCGAAGTTTGCAGAGTAAACTGAGGTTGGAATGAAACATCAAGCAAAGATTTTATGAACTACAATCAAAATGCAGGGCTGAAGGATGCATACCATCGAATCTCTGGCAGCCATCAAAACTTAACTTGGTAAGGTCCTGGTCCTGATCCCTCCGGAACTGACCACACGCAGCCTGAAGGATTTATTAGCAGATAGAGAATGGAGAAGCTGCAGACCTAGAATGTATAGCTTGGCAGAAACTTCTGTGCAGCTTCGCCGCTTCAGCACACGGTAGTCGACTGGTCGACAATTGAACGCGTAAGCAAATAACGCGGAAACAGCAGCACACAGGGAAAGCAGCAGCAAACACTTGTATTTAGTGAAGTCAACGTCCATGGTCGTGGAAGCAAATGGGAACCGTATAGACTGCATGACGGTGTGCTCGAAGGACACAAGGATTTATACTATTTCGGGGTGTGCTCGAAGGACACAAAGATTTATACTATTTCGGGTGAAATTTCCCTACGTCTAATCTGTTGCTGCTCGTATTCCCAGCACTGATTTATAGTAGGGATTACAAACGAGCGAGAGAGGGAGAAGTTCCCAAGTCTCTAGTAAAAAGATCGAATGGAGTTGAGTCTTGCTGAGCTTGTTCAGCCATGTGCTCGTTAGCTCTCTCTCCCCCAGCCGTGTGCTCCTGCTTCCCCTTTTATAGGTGAAGGGGAAGGCGTAGGTTATAGAGGAAGAAAAGGAGAAAAGCGAGGGAGAAGAAGGCCTCTAAGGCCGCCGCGTCCTTCTTCTCCTTCACGCGAGTCCCGCCGACACTGTAGATGGTGACAGGGACGGCTCTGCGTCGGGCTCCTGTTCACCACTGGTGCCATACATCGACGTCATCAGCAGGTCATGGCGTCCCATCCCGTCCCGTCGGACGGCGTGGTGAACCGACGTGCCCGTCAGCGGCCGTATGGGGAGTAGGCAGCACAGCAACCACGCACCTGTCACTGTTGGCGATGTGAACCACCGGACGTGGCCTGACGTGGCCATGGGTCACGTCGAGACGTGCCTGCTTCCCGCCCGGTGTCAGAAGTTTGACCCCGGGGTCCTATCTTCTGACCCGTAGTGGTTTGAGGGGCGAGACGGAACCCGTGCCCTCGGGCTCGGACGACATGGCCCGTGCCCTCAGGGTCGGGCATGACGGAGCACGTGCCCTCGGGGTCGGGTGACACGGGGCCCGTGCCCTCAGGGTCAGGCGAGATGGCTCCCGTACCCTTGCGGTCGGGCGACACGGGGCCCGTACCCTCGGGGTCGGGTGACACGAGGCCCGTGCCCTCAGGGTCGGGCGAGATGGCTCCCGTACCCTCGTGGTCGGTCGAGACTGAAATACATCCTTGATTATCTAGGTGAGTTGTCATCCGCGGTTCTCAGATCTCTTCTTCGGGTATCTCTAATACCGATACGCGACATTAGCCCCTGAGCCGGCGGAGGAGTAGGATACTCCTTCGTAGGCTTTTTTGGATGGAGGGTCTTCGAGGGCTTCGATCTTCTGCTGCCCGCGGGACGCCATGGTGGGTTGTGATTCCCTTCTGTAGCGATCGGACTCCTTGGGAACATGTAGCTGCAGGATTCGGGGGCCAGAAAAGATTTCTCTTGATTTTGATCCCTCCCTAGGATCCGATCGATACGCCATCGCCATGCGACCACGTATTCGGTCTCCTTGCGAGTCCAACTTCCCTCAAGCCCCCGCGCACAGCAGGGGTCTGGTTGAGGGGTCAGCTCGTCTTGTGATCATCCTCCCTCAAGCGTTTTTTCGATAAAACGGAGGGGCTGAGCCGTGCCATGGTTTCCTCGATGGACGTATCATGGTGGTCGGTGAGCTGTTAACGGGCTAGTCCGAGTGGGGCCTCAGCTTCCCATTCATGGGGGTCCAGCATGGGTCAGCTGGTGACCGACTACAGATTCCTGGTGGACAATCCATATAGTTTCTGGGTCCGGTCGATCAGTCCCAAGAGCTCGTTGTCTTTCTTCGAGGAAAAACCATGGACTGTGAACCGACCAAGACTCGAACGTGGGCCAAGATGGCCACGACGCTCGTGCACCCAGGTACTGGCAGCTAGCGGGCCCATCCCTTGTCACCCCTCACTTTAAAGGCGCATCGGAGCGGTTGTGAACCCGTCGGTGGGCCAGCCTTCAAACTCCCGAGCCTGAATGGGCTGTGGGAGCGTTTTTAGCTCCATATCCCTTCTTACCTATGGCGGTTCTCGGCCCATCAAATGGGACGAACCATCATCCGGCGCGTCCTTCGAGGGAGCGGCCAGAGGTGGCGTGTGCACGTTTCTCGGAGAGACGATGTGACGCGACACGGCGGGCACGTAGATCTAGGCGGACGGTTCGCCTCTCACTTCCCCTGCCTTATAAATAGCGGCCTCCCCCTCGATGTTTCGGCACACTAAACCGCAACCTTGCCTTCTCCGCCTTTCCGCCGCCGTCGTTCGGATCTGCTGCCTTTGCTAATCCGCCGTTAGCGCCCTAGATCTGTAGCCTTCGCTTCTCCACCGCCGTCTAAAAGTCCTTGCTCCTCCATCTTCACTTTCCATGGAGTCATGGTACCACTTCGATGTCACCCACGCACACATGGTGGGCCTCATCAAGCATGGTCTTCTCCGCGGGAGGACCGACGCGGCGGAGTGGCTCATGCTCGGTCGCAAGGATGGCTATGTCGTGTTCTTTGCACCCTTCCACGAGCGCGGACTCGTGATTCCTCCCCATCCATTCTTCTATGGACTGCTGCACCACTACCAGATTGAGCTGCAGCATCTAAACCCTAACGGGATCCAGCACATCGCGGCCTTCATCGCGCTGTGTGAGGGATACCTAGGGATTGAACCCCACTTCAAACTATGGAGGTACTTCTTCTCCGTCTCCCTGCTTAAGAAGAAGGACAGAGGCAGGGAGATCCTGGTGCCAATGGGATGCACAGGCATCCACCTTTGGGGGCAGCGGGCGGCCGAGTACATGCTCTCCTAGTTGTCTAGATCCTACAAGGGGTGGCACGCGTAGTGGTTCTACTTGAAGAACAACCCCGCCGCCCCCTTGTCGGTCTTCACCGGGCGCCTAATCGAAGAGGCGCCATCGACGTGGCTGTGGGGGCCACCCATCAAGGAAAAGAAGGGGATGTGCGACCTCCTCGGGGCCGTCGCATCCCTGAGGAGTTGCAGCCTTTGCGGGGCCGGTGTCATCGGGGCATACCACGCAAGGAGGGTGGCGCCGCTAATGGTGCGCGCCCTCCCGCTGTACGGGATGACGCCCGTCGCGTAGCTCGATGGGACGGCGCTCGCCTAGGGGCCGCTCCGCGATAGCAAGGTCACATAGCGCATCAAGGAGGCAACGAATGAGTCTGACGCCGTGTTCCCAATCTTGGGACATCCTGCGATGTGGCCGGAGCTAGGCTTTATCGAGCTGCCAGTGGACTTGGGCTTTTGGGCCTTTGTCGCGCCGTTGCCGAAGCATGTGGCTGTGAGGGCGGCGAACCGTGTCACAGATGAGCAGACGAAGAAGGATAAGGCTGACAAGAAGGCGAGGCGGCGGGTGAAGCAGCGGGTGTCGCTGAACCGAGGAAAACGGTAGCAGGGTTCGGAGGAGGAAGAGGAAGAAGAAGAAGAAGAAAGGCGATGGTTCAGGGTCGCCTGTTCAATGGGACGAGCTAGGTGGCGGGGACGTCTTTGGGTCGCCCATCCAATGGGATGAGCTGGGTGGCGGGGACGAGGATCCATCTCTGTCGTAGGCGGGGCCATTCCCACGGCATGCCCCGGGGCAGGAGGGGGAGGACACGCCCCTAGAGCTGGTGGAGTCAAGCTACCCTGCCCTGTCCAGGCCTCCCACGGCCCCCCAAAGTCAGCAGGAACCGGCCACCCCACTCCATCTAGACCCTCCAAGCAGATGGAGGGCTCAAAGCGACAACATGCCAATGAGGAACAGCCGGGGTCAGGCGGGCCAGCCCCAAAACATCATCGTCCGATGGCGTCAGGGTGAGCGGGAGTTTTTTCGTCCTTTTGTTCTAATGAATTTTTGCCATAAACTGACCGTCATGTGTTTGCAGCGTTGGAGGACATTGGACACTCCTAAGGCTTACGCCGAAGCAGAGCCTCCTTCGGCAGACACGCCAGGAGCTGGCTGGCGTTGTGCTAGAGGTGAGCGGGAGTGGCGCTAGGGCGGCCATGGCGTCGACCGGGGAGGCGCAGCTGATGGCTACGTCCAAGGGAGAGCAGACGGAGGAGGGCGCGTCCGGGGCACCTGTGGCAAGCGTGGCACAGCCGGGTGTGACCACGATGTCGCATGCAGAAGCGCCACAGCCGGAGCCATCATTCGTGCGGGTGGCCGCCTCCCCGGCGGGGCAGATGCAGGAGGACATACCCAAGGCATCCTTAGCAGATGTGGCGATGGGGCAGGCCTTCGTACCCACGTCTGTAGGGTCGAGATGGCGACTAGAGGGGGGTGAATAGTCATTACTAAAACTTTATCGCGTCGACTAACCAAAACAACTGCGGAATTAAAACAATCGGTCTAGCTAAGACTACACCCCTCTATCTATGTTCTCTAGCACCTTACAAAGATTCTAATTAAGCAACTAAGGTGTCGGGAAGGCTAGAGCTCACCTAACCAATTCTAGAAGAAAGGTCACACAAACCTATGCCACTAGTACTTCAAGCAATGAGGGAGCTCCTACACATGCTAGTAAGCAAAAGCACAAAGCCACCTAAGCTCACTAGCAATGCTCAATAACAAGGCAACCAATGCCAAATTAGAGAGCGCAAATACTTAGCTACACAAACTAAGCAATGTGACTAACAAGGTTACACAAACCAAATTGGCCATG